GACTCCTTGCTTTTTCCTGCGCTTTGCTGGTCCCGTGACCCAGGCATTTTGATGATCTACTTCACCTCAGTAGTTGGCCAGCTGAATCTTCCCTTCTCTCTCCTCTTTCTTCATCTCACCTTCCCTTCTCTTCAGTTTCGCACTCTTCCTCATCCCGTCCTCCTTGATTGCACCCATGTCCTCTCTGCTATGACACCGGATATTGCAGCTGGCCACAGGACTAGCCCCAAACTCAGCCCCTCCAGCGTGGCACATGGCAGTGCATCGGCGTGCTCAGCCTGAGTGGGGCTGCCCCTCCCAGAGAGGCAGTGGGTTGAACCGAAAGAGTTTGTGTGTTTTGTTCTGTTTTGGCCATCAGAACAGAATATAAAAGTGCCAAAGACTTTCCAATAATTGTACCATGTTCGTATAAATGTATGCGCTAATTGCTTCTGAGGTAGTAACAGATGGGGCATGAGAGATCCAATTTGGTGAATTACTAGCTAAAATTAGAGATTCAAGTGTTATGTTCAGAATTTATGTTCATGTGCTGGAAATAAAATCTATACAGTAATTAAACTACAAAGAGGATAGATTAAAATAACATTTGAATGATAATTTGAATTTTAATTTTAAGTAGATTAGACTATACAATAGATATTACTTGCCCAATATAACTTCACAACTTTTGACTTAAAAAAAAAACTCATTTTTGCCCTGGACGGTTTGGCTCAGCGGTTAGAGCATTGGCCTGCAGACCAGAGCGACTCGGGTTTGGTTCCCAGTAAGGGCATGTACCTCAGTTGCAGTTTGTCCCTGGCCCCAGTTGGGGTTGTGTGGGTGGCAACCACTCGATGTGTCCGTGTTTTTCTCTGTCTCCCTCTTTCTCTCCTGCTCTATCTGAAGATAAATGCAAAAATGTCTTCGGGTGAGAATAAAACAAACAAACAACAAAACTCATTTTAACCTTAACTTTCAAACTTATAAAACTATTTAAAATAATGTATTAGTTTTGATTTTTAACATTTTGAGGTTTTTTACTTTTCTGGCTTTAATTGGAGTTCCAGAAAGTGGGCCTTTTATTCCTTCCTATTTACTCGCTTTATTTTAACGCACCTAACTTGCATTTTTTCATTCACTGTGAGATCTTTGCGGTTCTTGATATAATGAGTGCCTTTCTGTTGACACCTGGACAATGTGTGCATTTTATAATGAGATCTGGAGCTTATGCATCCTCCTGTTTAACTGGATTCCTCTGATCTTGCACCAGTAGGAAAGTGGGGGTGCCCCCTTATTACCCAGGCTCCTGCCCAGGCTCCTCTGCCAGCTGCAGGGGTCGACGCCTTAGTGCTACTGATGGCGGGAGTCCCGGTCTCTAGGCCTCCGCGGACGCCTCCCTGGCTGAGAGGTCCGCGTGCCCTGTCACTTCTCCACGTGGTTCCGCTGAGGGCGGGGGGAAGGGAGTGAGTGTCCTGGCTCGACCGGGTCTCCTGTGATGCCACATCTGTGGGAAGGGGGGGCACCCTGTTTCTTATTTCTTTGTGAAGGTAGAATTCCCTCTGCCCGCCTGGCCTCTCTGGCACGGCGGGGGTGGGTGCTAAGGCCTTGTGTTTGGACACCACCCTAGTGAGTAGGTGTTTATTACGGCCTGTGGGGGTGGAGGTCTCGGTTCCCCACTGGCCTTTGCTTGGGGCGGGGGGCACCATTTTTTTAAGTGGCGTTTGGCTGGGGTAGAGTAGTTGTTGTTTAAAAGTTTTTCACCTTGCTATGTTGACTCTTTCCTTTTGTCCAGAACGAGGTGACTGTTGGTTACCTTTTGTCTGTTCTCATTGGTGTCACTTGGTTGCTGGCTTCTGCAGATCCAGGGCTGGGAGATGTAAGGCAAGACACACAGACAGACGACTCGGAGAGCTCACGGCTGGGCAGCTGCTCATTCCCAGTGTCCCTGGTCTGCCTTCTTCTCCTTGCCTGAGTCTTCTTATATTTGTATCTCTATACAGGGTGGGGCAAAAGAAGGTGTACAGTTGCTCATAAACAAAATAATACAGTATAATCATTGATAAATAGAAATATAAGGATAAACTCTGTGTTCTGGGTACTCACAACTGTAAATCATCTTTTGCCCCACTCTGTATAATGTCCAGTGTTTTTTAACTGTACTTAGGAGGAAGAACAGGGAAAGTTACATTTACTCCATAGTCACTGATAGAAAAGTCCTCAAAAACAAGGCTTATTTTATTGTGCATTTTTGCTATTTTTTTAAAAACTAAATTCAAAAGACAATGGCCAACTCTCTAAAAACACTTACTAGAAAAATATTTGCTTATCCCTGATTACTATATATGAAAGACTCCTTTAAAGTTACCTAAATGAATGACTAAAGAAACCAATTCTAGGAATGAAGAATTCCTAGGAAGCTAATGTTACATAAATAATTGTCCTTGCACATTACGATTTACATATATTTGAACTCAATAATTACATTTATTTAAGTTGCATCATTTAAATGGCTATAAGTCTATTATACTGAACCATGGGAGCCATAGATTAATGTTCTTCTATTAAACAAAAAAGTAATACCTGCTTTTTGTAACAAATCCAAGGACTTCACAATAGCTTAGAGCAACTGTACCCCATCCGGATTTGATTCTCCACACGTGACTACTGTTAGCCGTCAGATGTGCAGCCCTCTGGCTTTCTGTCTGTGTTTACACCTTCGGTTGTGCTCCTCAACCTCACTTACCCCTCGATTTGCCGGCCAGCGTCTCTGTCTGTATGTACATCCTCTGTAAGCTCACCCTTCTCTATCCAGTTGTCACATGTTGGGGTGCCTCTAGACTTGGTTGAGAATGCTTTTCTTCTCAATCCGTATTGTGTTTCTTTGTGACTCATCCATATCCGTGTTTCAGTTGTCATTTGCAGATGAGTCGTAAATTCATTTCCTGTTTCAGATCTGTGATCTGAGTGTCCTCTCAGTGACTCCAGCTCTTTACTTGACATCCCCTTTGAGATACGCAAACAGCACCCCAAGCCGAGCAGAGCTGCGCTTCCAACCTGCTCCGGGGTCACATCTCAGTGGATGGAGCTGCTAGATGGAGTTATATCCATATATATTGAGTTATATTTGCCATAAGTATATTCATTCTCATTCTCCCTCACCTCCCATATTTAATGAATCACCATGTTGTGTGGCTTTTTCCTCCGGAACCTGCCCATTCCTTCTCCATTTCTACCTCCAGGCTTCCCTCATCTCCTACCGTGGGTTTTCTGCTTCCAGTCTCGTTGTGCTTGAATCAGTATTTCACCCTGTAACCAGAGAGCTCTTTTCAAAGTACAAATTTGGTCACGTCACCTGGCTGCTTCAAATATTTCAATTGTTTAATTGCTTTCATGGTAAATACCCAAACCCTTAACATGACTTAGCACAGGGCCTGCCATATAGTTGGCACTCAAAATTTGTGGACGAATGTGTTAGTGAACTTATATAGGTTACAGTATTTGCTATTAAAATAGTATTGCCACATACCTATATCTCTGTATGTATCTTTCATGACTCTTGTTAATATTTCTTTTAGATATATTTCTAGAAGTGGGATTGCTAGTATAGTTTGGGTTTCATCTATTAAATATCAAGGTTAATAGGGCAGTTGGTGTTGTGCCCTCAGCTATCAAGAGAAATAGAGGCGTCTGATCCAGGGAGCTCAGTGATGGTTTATTAAGGAAGCCGTCTTCACCGTCTATCTGATGGAAGGGAATAATATCCTTAAAGACTTGCCCAATGACTTTTGAGATTTTATGGCCAATAACATTAGAACAAGTACTTTGTAAAACAGAGCAAGGAACGGAAGGAGTCAAAATTTTATATTCATAACAAATGTGGCTTATTCTTATTTTTTTATTTTGCTTATATGTTTTTCTTAATTAATGACAAATTATGGAAATTTGTAATTTAAGGAAAAGAATAACTTGAAATGGGGTGGTGACCAGAAGCACTAAGAAAAATAATGTATGATTTACAACTTTCATCGAAGCGAGGATCTGTTTACTAGTGCAGTTGATGCTGGGCAGGTCCTGTTTCAGACACATAGCTTCAGTCTCTGCCTCTTTTGCTCCACTCCCTGGAGGGAGGGTGGTGTGTGTGGTGCGCGCTAGGTAGGCAGAAAGCAGCATGAAGGTATCAGGTGCCTATGAGGTGGGGACCAGGGACATCAGGTTACTATTAGCTCTGCACTTACTAGTTTTGTGACCTTGGAGTTAATCTCTGTGATCCTTAGTTTCCCCTCTGAAAATGATACTAACCACCAGTTTACATGCCAGCTAGATTGGGTGTGATTTATTGTTTTATTATTTATTAATGTATTTATTTTTAAAATGCTTTAATTTTTTGCCCAGCTGGTGTGGCTCAGTGGTTGAGCATTGACCCATGCACCGAGAGGTCGCAGGTTTGATTCCCTGTCAGGGCACATGCCCAGGTTGTGGGCCCGATTCCCAGTGAAGCAGGTGGCCAATTGACATTCTCGCTCATTGATATTTCTATCTCTCTCTCCCTCTACCTTCTTCTCTCTCTAAAATCCATAAAGAAAAAATATTTAAAAAAAAACACACAATAAAGTGTATTTTTTGAGCTGACACTAAAACGCTTTATTACTGATTTTAATCCTGAATCCGCATGCCAGAGGTTGGAAGTACTGTATGTAACAGGGACACTAATCGCTTTAAGCACCCGTTTCAGCAGCTTCTCAGGCTGCAGACTCCCCGAGGCTCCTGGAGCACCCAGACCACCACGACGTCCTGAGAGCGCCGACGTGCTCAAGGGAACGCAGGCCTCTGACACTCAAAACTAACTTCCTGCAAATTTCTCCTGTTTTCCCTCGCACTCTAGTCTGTTTTTAAGATCGAAATGCGTAGACTATGTATCTTTGTATTTATTTCCATCTTACTATGATTCCGTGTTAGCCACTTGGTGGCTGTTTAAGGAGGACTTGGATGTAATTGCTCGGTTTTGTCACTTCCTGTTCCAGGCAACGGGCCGCACCACGACCGTTGCTGCACGTACAGTGAAGACAACTTGGTGGATGGCGTTTATTCCCTCCCGATAGGACACTGGATCGAGGCCACTGGGCACACCGATGAGATGAAGCACACAACAGACTTCTACTTTAACATCGCAGGCCACCAAGCCATGCATTATTCAAGGTAAAACAGTGCCATGTTTATAAGCATGAAAATAGGGCAAGAGGTAGCTTTAGGACAATAGAAATATTTACTTCGTTCGAAACTGCAGTATCTCCCTCCAGAGGGGTACATGGGTCTAAGATTCTTTGAGGGGATAAATTACAGTGAGTCATTGTGTGAGCGTCTGGTTCTAGATGAGAAGGGTCCTTTTATAGAATCCTTTCATTAAATACATCCCCTGGCATCAACATATTTTGACCAGACAGTAGTTAAACAATCTTTGTACTTAGGTAGTGGATTAAAAATAAAAACTGGATGAAAATATCCTAGACCAGTGTTTGTATCTTTTATGCTGAAAAACAACAGGAGAACAAAAATGGGTGTCTCCTTATAAATCTTATTCAAATAAACAGGGCTCAGGATTTAGACATAAAACTAGAGTGGATGTGATCATTTGCTCTATTATTTATTAATATATTCACTTTTATATATTTGTTTATTTAGTTATTATACCCCCAATATATGCCTTATTAAAAAGTTAAACACAAGAGGATGCTCAGTGAAAAATAAGGTTTATGCTCGGCCGGTGTGGCTCAGTGGGCTGAACGTTGTCCCATGTACCAATAGGTCACTTGTTGATTCCAGCCAGGACACATGCCTGGGTTGTGGGCTCAGTCCCCAGTAGGAGGTGTGCCGGAGGCAACTGATCCATGTTTCTCTTTCAATGATGTTTCTATCTCTCTGTCCTTCTCCATCAAATCAATAAAATACACACATATATATATTTTTAAAAGTAAGGTTTACTACCTTTTTCTTGATTCCCACTCATCAGAAATAACTGTATGTAACCATTTATGGTTAGTTTTTCTGGAGGTTTAAATCTAATCTTAAATAATGTGCATACACTTTATTTGTTAATGTATCAATTTAAAAATTACTATTGACTCCCTCAATGACTTGAGACAGATTTCGCTCACATATATTCGTTCTCTCTCCCTATTCCCAATCCCTATCAGTCTCACTTAAATAAATTCTTTTGTTTAGTTCATAAAAAGTCTATTTCTTGACCCGTACGGTTCTGACAGAGCGTCTTAGTTTCCTACTGTGTAAGATCAGAGGTATTTGCCCCTCCACAGCTACTTTCACCTACTCGCTTCTGTTTTCCATTACTATTACATTTTCAAGGTTTACAGAATTTACATTTAATTTAGTAAATACACATAAGTATTTCATACTGTGATGATTTCAAGCTTCAAACCAATATCCAACATATAAAATGCTATGTATACATTATTTACTGTAGGACATGCAGCGTTTGTACCATAGACAAAGAGATGCATTCTCATGTCCTTAAAAATCGTACTGCTTTGAACGAGAGAGAGAACGAATACTGACAGGGTGGTGAGGAGTCGGAGAGAGAGCATGCACCTTCATCATGGAGCCAGGGAATCAGTGATCTTGGATACGCCTTCCTCACTAAGTCACGCTAGATCCTGTTCTTGCAGATGGACGGGAGGCAAAGCATGACTCATGGTTTTATAGCCTGAGCAAGTGGATTCATGGTGTTGCTCTTACTGAGATGGGGAACACTAGGAGATGAGCAATCTGGAATCGGGGTGGAGGTAAACATTCTATTTTGGACATACATTTTGAAATGTACGTTAGATTGCAAAAACAGAATCAATTTGATGTGTGAAGCTTTGGGGAGAGGTTGGGAATGGAGAGGTACAATAGATGACACTCAAAGTGATGCGACTAGATGCACTCAATTAGCAATTGAGTGCACTGTGGAGGAGAAGAAGCGAAAATAGGCCCTTGGGTCCACACAATTTAGAGAGCGAGGAGAAGAATGGATTTAGAGAAAAGAATGAGAAGGAGCACCCATCGAGATGTTCAGATTCAATGAGGATGGGTTTATGCGTTATTTTTCATTTATCCTGAACCATATTTGCTGAACCTTCCTATCTGGAAAGGGATCATTTAGGCTCTAGGGATTTCCTTCTGTTTGATTATTTTTCCCCTTTACTGTCTTTATTCTATCAGTAAAGACACTCCTGAGATGGATGTTGGATTTTATGGATTTATTTCCTATTCTAGACTTTAAAAAAATATTTTTTACCTTCTGGTTTTATTGCTTTCCATTTTGGAGTCATTTTATTTTTTTCCCAACTCAACTAATTTTCTTTTCTTAATTTTGGTAATTCTTGATGTCCATGGACTCTGACTTATTTTGTTATTCCCTTTTTGCACATTAGTTTGTTTAAGCTTATAGTGGATACATTCTTTCATCTGCCTTCGAATACTACGGAGTGTTTAAAAATTCTGATCTCTTACTGGATCTACCTCATTTTCGCTGGAGCAGTTGTTTTCTATTCATTTGATCTTCCTCTCTTGTGGTGTTAGTCTTTCAAATAACTGGTTGCTCTTAGTCGTTCATGTTCATGAACGTGTAGGTTGATTATTACATGTGGCTGGCGTTGCCATTACTAGCTGTTGTACCTATGAGAGAGTTGGTGTGTGCTGGGTGCCCCTGGGCAGGGCATGGCTCCCTGTGTGGACCAGAAGCAGACAGTCAGCCTGGGCACCCCGTCACCCCAACTAGATGAAAAGAGGAGGACCTGTGTGGGGCACACTTCTCACTCTGGCAGCCTTAGCTCCCTAAGCAGATGTTTTATAGAAGGTGTCGCTTCAGCTTCACAATCATTACCATAGCTGTATGGGAGGTATGACTCATAGTTCATGTGCTCAGCTATGCAAAAAAGGTTACGTTTCTTTATTTTCTTTAAAGCAACTTAGTTTTATATCTAAGTCTTTATCCTACTGAAATATCAGATAATTCAACCTGTTATCATCCTCCTCAAGTGTAAATATATATATTTAATATATAATAAATATGATAACTAGGTATGCATGTCTGTGTGTATTATATATTACATATATAATATATACCAAGTATAAATATACATAATATATAATATGTAACATGCCATTTATAATATAGTATATACTGTATAATAAAATAGACATGTGTAATATAAATCTATATCATAAATATATATGTAATATAGAATACACACAGACACATACCTAGCTACATATATAAATAGGACAAAATCTCAGACTCATTACAGTTTTGGGGTTAACAATACTATTTGTTTCTCTATTCATTTCTGCAGCAGAGATAACTGGGCTCTTTGTAATAAATAACAGTGTTTTATGGTGGACCTGGTGTCATAGCTCTGCTTCTAGAGAGTCCCATCGAACTCCGGTGTTTCTCACGGTTCAGTCTCAAAGTCCCCAAACTAAAGAGCAGTGGGGTGGTGTAATTTTTAAAAATAAAAATTAGTTGAGTGTTGTGATTTTTAAAAAGATATAGATTTATGGGCCTTACCAAGTCCTGGGAATCTTTATTTTCCGAACTGCTCATGTGATTCTTATGGGCTTAAAAGTGTGAGAACGACTGTGATTAGCCCAATAAATACAGCAATTTAGAATAAAAAAGGGGAAGAATTTTGAGTACTTTTAGTTATTTGTCTGACTCCTCTTAAATATTCCAGCCGCAATTCCTCCTCACTTGAAACTGGACAAGATAACAATGTGAATTCAGTTTAAAAGAGCCGAAACAACATTCATATATGTGATTATTAAATTGGAAACATCTCATTGCTATCTGCTTGGCATTTTCATCTGACTACGCGTAAAGCTAAAATAATTTGTGAAATTTTCTTAGCTGCCGAAATAGATGCAAGTGATAGGTTATATATGTACATGTTTGTTTGCACATATATGTTTGATACATGTGTACATGTAATGATAGGTATTATGTAATGATAGATAATATGTACATGTAATGATAGATATTCAGACTCACCCGGTAGGTTTACAATGCAAAACTATCACCCTTTAGTTAGAACGTGGGGATGGAGTTTGCCTGGGATGTTTTAAAGGTCTTAGTGTGTGGATTACTTGGTGTAGCCCCTGCGTTCATGATCAAAAGTGCAGAGACAGTGATCTGCACTCAGGAACTTAGGTTCTTGTGGAAGACAGCACATGAACAGCTGCTACAATGAAGTCGTCTGCAGAGCGTTATGAGGGACAGGAGCAAACGTCTTTCGTTGAAGAACATCTTTATGACTAGCCCTGGAAGAGAATTGTGAAGGATTCTTTGCTGCAGGTGGACATTTGGGAGAGGGAAGTCAAGATGAGAAGAGCAAGAGCAGTATGAAGGTGACCAGACAGGTTTTCCCAATGAGGATAGTTTTGAGAGTGAAAAGAGGTATTTTTAATAATTAGACTGCACAAAAGGTATGACTATATTGGTACTTCTTGGTTTTAATTGTATTAGGTATTATCTGTTCACTTCACACAAAGAAATATAAAGATTTAGCTCCTTTTTTGTTTAATCCTCCTAATTTATTTATGCCACAATTTTGAGAAGATAGTATTTCACATGTTTATTCATATTCCAAGGTAAATGCTATTTAACACCGTTCTTAGCGCTATTTACTACTGGCCTTAGGATTTAGTTTTTTTCAGTCTGCTAAATTATTCAGCAATCAACCAATTGCTTTCCAGCTTCCACGACTTTGCTGCTGTTTTCTTTCTTCCTGTTCTTTGTTGTGGTTTTATGTGTATAATTTTTTTTTTACATCACTCTATTCTTGTTTCAAAGGGATTTAGTGAAGTCAATAGACGTGTAAATCAATTTGTCTACAATAAAAGTGAAATAAAGTATTAACATGCCTAACATAAAACTTGATCACGGTAGCTCAGTAAATTTAAGTCCATTCTTTATTTCTCTTAGTTAGCTTCTATTCTGTTCCTCTGAGACAGGTAAGATTCCACCAAACTAGCCTGAGATCTTAAAAAGCAAAGTGTGCTTCCATATTCAGGCTGGGGAGGGAAAGTTTGTGCATGGTACCAAACTACATCTTCCTTTTCAATAAACTTTTCTTTATGGCATAAAGAATGAATGTTTGCCTTAAAGACACAGATAATTAATTTGATGAGAATTTAGTGAA